TTTCTGTCCCTCTCTTCTTGAAGGGGTCATTGTCTTTTCTAGTGTTAATGCTGTGCTATGTGTTCCCTAACTCCATTAGCTCCTACATACACATTGTTAATGCACGCTAGGCTTTATCAGGCTATGAGTGCCTGTGAAGCCAATGAAATCACAGTTTCTGATCATCTCACTAGTTTTGTATGAAAATTTTCATATCAACAGCAGTTTAATTTCAATAACCTAACAATGCCATTTTTTATTTAATTCCTGAACATTTGACTTCATGCAGTTCTGAAATCACTAAACTGCTATATTAGTTTACTAGAAATTTTGTAGTTTTCTAGAGTTAAAAGAAATAACAATTATGGAAATCCAATAGAAGCAACCCTCCTGCCCCAGAGTCCCAATAAAGCATCAGCAGGACAGCAGAGATCTCCCTACCACTCAGACTAACAGCAGGAGTGAAGCAGGTCAGCATATTTTCAGTGGGTTTCACGACTACTTCTATCAGCAGCAGAATACTGGGGGTTCCAGTGGTGTCCAGGACTTGCATAACATAGTGGTCATGGTGCTTTCAGCCCCTGTCTTAACCTCATCCTTCATTACTTTAGTCCATGTAGCTTTTTACTCTCAGCCTACATCCATCTAGTGGCTTCGCCCTGCCCTCCCTCCACTTCCCCTTTGGGTTCCTTGTGCTTAATTCACCATTTTCTAACTGTCCCTTCAGGCTTGGCTCCTCATCCCTCTACTTCCTCAGCCTGGGGAAAGGAGGAGCACTGAAAGCACATCAGAGTGTCTTTGTCTGTAGTGCTCCCTGGCCTTGAAGGAGGAAATAAGAGGGGGAAGTCTGGCTCAACCCATGCAGTCTTATCCTAGGTCATACATCATACAAACAGAGTATGATGAGTTAGCTGTTAAACTATAATACATTTCCCCAGTTTTCAGAAGCTCATGATTGAGCAAAAAATTGGGGTAATCAAAAAGCATCTTTCTGAAACCAGAATGACTCTCTTAGCAGAATTCTAGTCCTGGTTCTAAAGCACGGGAACGGTGAAGCTCCTAGTTTAAGAACTGTTTTCATGTGGGTAAAACCAGATGCAGATTTATCAGGCAGGACAGAGGTTTTAATCTTCTTTAGTCTCCCCTCAGCTCTCCAATAGCACCAAGGAAGGTAGTAAGCATTTCCCTCATGTGATGCGGCTGCTCAGTTGTGTGGCCTTCCCAGTCACGTAAGGGTTATAGCTGCTCCTGAGTAAAACACTCTTTTTTCTTTTCTGAAAAGTGGCTAAGCTATTTTTGTTCAAGTTTTCAAAAGAAGTCTTCAGCCTGAGGCAGAAATTCCGCATGAGAAATTTCTGCCCAAATTATTAAAGAATGGTGGACTTACTTACAAACTACTGAAAACAGATGGAGTTTGGCATAAGAAATTACAGATGCCATCACTTATGGCCCTTATACTCTCTGAGCATTTATACTGTAACACATATATGAATGTGAATATGCAGTACCACTCAGCAGAGTACTTGTTTTTCTTCTATGTTCCTTCAAAAAAAATTATATAGGTTTTATGGCTGCAATAACAATCTTCAAGAAATGTACTTCCAAGTAGCTACAGGCTATAAGGTCAACCTTACAGTGAGCAATCAGATGGCAAGAACCTCCTTACCTTGATGTCATTATTTCTTACAAAAATGAATAATGACTTTATCCTTACTTGCTGTTTTAGTTCAGCATAAGAGTGCAAACAGCATAGAATAACACAGAGACAGAGGGGTCTGAACAGATACTAAGAAAGCTAATGGAGTCGTCTTTAATTTCTTGAAAGAAGTTGTCATACAAACAGAGAACAAAAACGTTTCAACCCTTAACTAAAAAGGCAGTAATCATACATTCTTCTGGGGTAGAAAATCTATTATAAACACCATTTGTAGACCAAAATTTAGCTTTGACTCTTGCCTATTTAACAATAGTGCAGAAGGAAGAGATCATTAGATGCAAAGAAAGAAATTATGACTGAAAGCCAGTTTAGGAAGAACCAGGAGATAAGACAGTTTACATTAGAACCTTGGTATCTTATTAGTGGATCCATTTTTTAAATCAACTTGGATTAAAATAGGGGACAAATTTAGGGTTCAAGTCAACAAAGGGACAGCTGTGCATTTCCATTTTTATTTGATTTATATTGCTCCCAACCGATTCCATACAAGAGAAGCACCTTCTGGTATTACAAAGACTCGTTATACTGAATTAGAGTGGCTCCATGGAAATCAGTACTTCTATTTGTTCAAAACTGATACACAGCAGAAGAAAACAAGCCAGACTCTCTCTACATCTGGTATCTAAAGCAAGCCATCAGCGGCTACAGATAATTTGGGAAAACAACTATAAATTTTAAACCAAGGAAACTAGTTTTGCCTAACTGAAAAAAGATACAAAAGTAACCTCTTGATCTCAGGAATGAAAATTAATTGGTAAGCAAGGCCTGCCTCTACGGCTTGACTTTCTCTGTTAGTATCGCCAGATGGAACCCACACCACTAGGGAATTGTATGAATTCTAATAGACTTCCTTTTTTGCCTCTTCACATTTTCTGGACATAGTTTCAAAGGGGTTTAATGTTAGACCTACTCTCTAGACAAAGATTTAACAGTAGATGAAGACTGACTGACTTCTATTACTGTAGTTCAGCCAGAACATTTGGGTAAAATTCAGGCCTCGCTGCATTCAATGGGAGATTTCCTACGAACTTCAGATGAAGCCAGGATTTCATCTTAGCTGTCTTCTCTGTTCTTGTGTAGGAGAACTGACTACAGCTAGGCAGAGATGATGCATTGTTCTTTACAGTCTGCACCTGTGTCTAATTTAGTCTTGCAGCTAGAGCTACAGAGCGAAGTAGTTGACAGCTACTAGAGAGAACAGTCTGGAAACTGTCAACTCACAGAGATGCTTTTTGAGCTCTCACTCTTTGGAATAAGCTCTTTTCTGTTTAATCAAAGGAAAAGTATTTTTGTTAAGAAACTTCACATTCCAAATAAGAATGCTGTTAAGCCAGGGAATGAAAATATGAAATAGCTGTTTGTTACCAGTGCTGTAAATCATCTGTGAAAGCCTTCACAAACACACCAGATGCAGACTGCTAAATCCTTCCACTTCATGACAGCACTGAACCACTGACAGAATCGTGCTTTCCATAGAGGAGTGAGCAAGTACCAAATATGTACAGCATATATGCATCAGTTATGATTAGCAAGTGAAGCAGATGCCATATTCAAGCAATAATGTAATATTGTATAGCCAGATAAAATTTCACATGTGAGTATACACATGTATATACAAGAAAAACTGGGTTCTTATTAAATTATACTAAATTTTGAGTGGTGTCATGACAGACAGTATAGCATAAAAACAATGCAACATTCAAGTTGGTTATCCAATTGTTTGTGTATGCATGTATACATGTATATATTCAACAAAATTTTCCTCCCCATAATTATGCACAGAGATAACAATGTTTCCATTATAACTTTCCCAGCAATGCTTTGAAAATCAGTAAATATAGTTTTCTTTTGCTGCAAATGGAAAGTTGGAGGCTGAACTCAAGGCTGAATTTAAAGTTTTGGAAAAGTTGACTAATTCAGAATTTTAAGACAATGCTTTAAAAAGCAAAACATTTTATAGATACATGACTCAGAAAGGGCTGAAATTTAAAGCATTTAGCTTGACAGGTGTATATATACACACACACACAGAGGTAAAAGGAGGCTTTGTACATTCACAGTATGAAATTACTGTGAATCTGTACAAAATTTTGAAATGTCTCATTATTTCCAGCATAGCATAAAATCTATTCAGTATTCAGGTTATGCATTTAATTGCTTGCATATCTGTTGCAATCTATTTATTATTTTTTCTATAGATATGACAAGAGGATCAACGTAATCTTCTAATTTAATATCCCAGATTGGTAAGATATATTCATAAATGATCCATTGTTATTTTGCCTAACTGAAAAAAGATACAAAAGTAAAGATACATTAAACCCCTTTGAAACTATGTCCAGAATCATAAATGATTCCATTGTTATTTTGCCCCATTGGCCTTCTACTCTTTTCCGCCAGACCTTCTTGTTACTTAGCCTATCTTTAGCCTCCAGCATTCGCAATCTTCAGCTTACAAGAAGTTAGGGCAATATCCATAAAAGGATGTTTCAATTTAGTTTACCGTGCCTTAGATCCAGAAAGCAGGTTCATAGACCTATATTAGGTACTAGGAATAGAACTTGTACCCAACCAATACCCTAGCCAACGGGCAACACTGAAGATCATGAAATCTCACCTCTCTTAAGTGTTCAAAGCACCTAATACTGAGCTGCAGAAATGCATCTAGGACTAGATCAACATTCATAATTCATATCTTTTGGGGGCTTAGAAGTCTAAGTTGTCTACATTTAAACAGATGCTTAGCTCACTCTTTAGTGGTTGTCCTCTGGGATAGTTGTTCAATGCTGAAAACATGCAGGCAATGGGAGATTTACTGGAGAAAAATTCTCCCAGCCTCATGGACACTGAGATACCTAAAAACTGAAGTACACGTGATGAAGACAGTGACTTGACTCTGGCTTCTTACCTTCTGCTAAGCTGCCTCACCATCTTTTTACCGGTGCTGAGATCCAAGTCTTAACTGGATTTTGGCTTAGTTCATTATCGTGAAAGCTTCAGCCTTTCACAAATTATTCTAAAATTTACTCCCGAGCTTTTACATATATCCAAGAGCAGTAACTTCAGTTGAAACAAGCCCGTTTTGAAATGTTTCAATAACACCATCTTTTACAAAAATCTCACATCTAAGCCATGCATGTGCAAAACATCACTCCTGAGCAACTTGGTTCAAACTCTTCTTAAAGTATAAAATAACTTCATCTCAAGAACACAGGTGAGGGGTGGCACTGGGACAGAAGGGCCCGTGAATTCAGCAGGATTTAAGAAATCAGAGGTAGGAAATACCTTCGGCGCATGAATTTACCTCAGCCACCGCTGCCCGCGCCTTGTTTTCCAGGGGGTTTTAAACGTTTCCAGCTATGGAGTTCAGCCTCTTTCATATAAAAAAAATCACGTCGTCCTCGGAGCTGACGCCCCAAGCCTCCTGACTGAACACACCGGCGGTATCAGCCCCCTCGGCGGTCCGCGCCGAGGGGCCCGGGGCGCCGC